TGCTGCGCAGACGCGATCAATCCACATGGGAAAACACAGAGAAAGAGCACGTGGAATTGCTCTGCGCAGCCAGCAACCATCACATCATTCCAACATTATTGTGGCAGTATTGCGTTCTTCTTGAGTCGTGATTGATTTGTCATGAACATTGAATCATACTGAATGATAATGAAAACAGAATCAGCCAAACAAAAAACACAGAAAACAACTGATAGCGTCGAAGAGGTCGTTTTGATGCGATTTTGAGCGTTTGAACGGAAATGAAAACCTCCATAACTTACATCGTCGAAGAGGTCGTTTTTGGTGCAATTGGAGCGTTTCTTGACACCAAAACAAAAACCCCATAAGTCTTTACGAAATTCAACCCCGAAGAGCTTCTTTGCAGTTTCGACGTTTGGCGAAACGTTTCGCTTTTTTCACAAAAAGAAAAATACTTCCGTAAGCCTACTTTCTCCATGGTTGGCTCTACTGTGCGCATGCTTGCAGCTGGAGAGACAAGACCCATCGAGCATGCAAAAGTTGGTTTGGTCAAGTTGTTTCAGCATTTAATCCTTACAAGCCACGATGGAATCTTGATGAGTCTGCAGCTCCGGGTACGAGGAAGAAAAGCAGTTATGTGCATGCTTCTAGTTGTGCAGATGATGTCGAGCCGGCTGTATTGGAAGTGTATTGGTCGTGGTCAAAGAAGGATTTTATGGAGGAGCGAGCTTTTGCGTGAACGAAAAAGAGATAGAGTGAGAGATGTTGGGAAGATGTGTTAGCAATGAGCATTATTCAGTTTTTGCCGATTCTAGTTGGCAACTGTCATGTTTTCACGCAAGTGAGCAAGTTCGTTTTACCGCTGTGTTGTTCGTTTTTGATGTGCGGTTTGCTGTGTGATTAGGCCGTGCAAAAGTAGCATTTTCCCACGCGTTTACTGGAGCCTTTTCGGGTGCGCCTCGTGCGTCACAACGAGTGACGTTCAGCTGCTCTCTGGGTGATTCTGGCAGAGCGGAGGCATGGACGGAGGTCCGTAGCTGACTACCGGTGCTTAGGGAATGAGTCGGCGGTGCAAACAAGCTTTCTGGACACCACACCAGCATTTTCCCAAACTCTGGTCGGTCTGGTCACACGTCGCCACAAAGCTGGTTCGCATTGTCTTGAGAACTTTCGTGACGTGTGTTGCACTTGTCTGTCAACATGCATGGTAGCGTCATCCAATACGACGAGAACTCGAACATGTCAAACGGTGTTTCAAGTGAATGTCGCAGTTCCAAAGTGAATGCATTGCTTGCGCTGTGGTTGATGTAATGCAATGCAGATTCCGTGTTCAAAAAGTTGTTTTGACCCGACACGAAGCAGCCAATGGCTCAAGTTTCAGTCACGAACCTTATCCGCTTGTAGTACTGATGGGCAGCGCTGCCCGATTTCGGTTATGGTTGGCATGGACCGTGATGATGCCTGGACGCATCCCGGCGCTCGAGGCGGATTTGGTTTGGATTGCCGGTGAGTTTGCATGCAGTTTTATTACCGCATTACTTCGAGTTCGCGGAACTTGTAACAGCTTAACACATTAGCAGGTCTACCAGGAAGCCATCAGTCCTCCAAAGCCCCCGTATCATAGAAAAAACAGGCTTCAGTACAGCACGTTGTTGCAGGTGTAGGAGTTTGGATGTTCGGATGTGACCGGGCATGTGGGCATGTGTTTAGAGTCGCCGCGCAAAACTTGTGTGAGGTTTTGGTTTCTTGATCGTTGCAAAGGTCTAAGGTTCCGTGCTTCAGCATCGGAACATGCGTGTTCGCCCTAAGGTAGAGGGTGCTACTTTGGCATTTCATTTCACATCCGAAAAAACATGATCCTGAAACCTGAGTTGTTATCCCGGCGCCAGTGTCTTTTGTTGCTCTGCACGGAGTTTTGACAAGCTGATCAGATGCATGGAAGCCGTAGAATGTAGGCACTGTGGACTCAGTTCCCTGTGAAGGAGACGTGCCCCACCCACGCGCGCAGTTTGCTTCAAAGCAAGCGGCAGAAGCTCAACGAGGTGGCACGTTCAAGACACGTTCTTGGCAATATTGAACACGAATTTGGATGCGCTTCACATTGCGGTCGTGTTGCCGGTGCGGTTCTGAGAACGGAGGTCGTCGGAATGATATGAGAGTTTCCGAAAAATCTAGTGGACCCTAATAACATAGTACCCTGAACAGCAGGATCCTTCCGATAAGGATCCCAAAATATAAGGTACCCCTAACTGACGGGAACTCCAATATCGGTCGTTGGTTTCGCTGCATTTCTGTTGTTCCGAAACCCCGAATCCCAAACCCTAAGCTTCCAAACGCCTCCTCGTAAACTTGTAGCAGTCGCATTATAAAGGCATTATAGGATTTCTACGAGTTTTAGGAATTTCAGAAGTTGTAGAACTGTAGGGTCTTTGAGGAACTACAGGCCATGTTCCGGAGCCGTTCGCCAGGTCGAAGTGGAATCTATGGCGGCCCTCCGGGATGAGCCTCCTGAAGAGATGTCCGAGGCAGGTCTAGGGTTCAGTGTTTAGTCCATCCGTCCATCCGCGCATCCATTCATCCGTCCATCCATCCAATCTCAGTGTCATCATTATTGTCATTAGTATCTTCCCACTCTTGTCAAGATTCCTCTTACCATTCTTATTCTGGCTGGTTGTCATGCCACAATTACCATCTTCGACATCTTCGACATTCTGTGTTTTATCCTCAGAGTCACCATGGCCATCACGGTCATCAAATGCATTCTCAGTGTCAGACTCACGTCGCCAGCACTCGCGCCATCGCAACACCATCGCAGTCATATCACTAGTGTAATCCTTAAACCTTCAACCTTACACCAATCCTCCTCCTCATCATCATCATCATCATCATCATGTTGAACCCACTGCTACAACGTATAGGCGCCTAAAGAATTACCTAGCCTATACTAGTTGTGGGGTTCCTTATTATACTTGTAGTATATGTATGGGGCCCCAGAACCCTATTTCCAATTATTAAGGCCCTTATACCAAATCGTAGCCCTTCTAGTAGGCCTTGTAGACCCTAAACCCTAAACCCTATGACAGACATTTTCCTTGAACTCAGTAGGCTTCTGCAGCTCTGTAGCTCTCGGCGACGAGGCCTTAGAACTCAAGGTTCAACGGATCCTGCTTGTCTGGGATATCATTCTGCACGCAACATAACCCCCCCCCCAGACCCCACACTCCAAACCCTAAACCCTCAACCCTCAACCCGAGACCCTCAAACCCTCAACCCTCAACCCTCAAACCCTCAACCCTAAACCCTAGACCCTTGAAGCGAAGACTGCCACGTGCGTGCTGGGAGTCTCGCCCTAAAACACCCCGGGGCTGCAGGCCTCCACCGGCCGCAACGAAGAGCTGCAAGGAAGATCCTCGGCTTTCGCCGTTCCCGGAGTCAAATCATATCAGGGATCCTACTTCATTTAAGGAATATTCCTTAATTAAGGAATATTGGAGTCTCTGGGAAGTCAGTGTATAATACTTTACAATGTGATAGAGGAGAACACAGTAGAACTACTAGATAGTGCAAGATGACAGAAGAGAATAGAGTAGAACTGCTATATAGTACATTATGATAGAACCGAATGAGTAGAGGTGCTATGTAATAAAACATCATATCATGATTTTTGTGTCGGTGGTAGAAGGGGTTTCGATCTTCTCGGCGAGCTCTCCACGCGCCTGAACTGTGGAACCCTTTTGATACGTCTCTCTCTATCTCTATATCTGTATCTACATTCACATCTATATCAAAATCCAACACCTCAAGCCTGAAAGCCCCTGAGCCCCAAGTGTCTGAAGCACGAACAGGTTTAGGTTAGGGCTTCGAAGAAGGGTCAAGACGAAGCTCCTAGTCGTGCCCAGAACGGCTCGACGTCATGTTTTTCAGCTCGAGTGGGGTGGTTGAAAGGTTTTGGCAGCTGCTGGAGATTCGGCAACCACGCAGGTGATTTTGCTTTGTAGGGATGCCGCATGAGGTGAAACCTGGGGGCGTGGCACCAGACTTCCGTGCGGTCTCCAGATTTCATGGTTTCTCTTAGTTAGGGTCCCTTCTTCGGTTCTCAAAATGAGATGGCGCAGGCTCATACCCTGCGGCCCACAACATTGGCCTAAGCTCGAAGCTTTTGCGGAACGGCGGAACTGCTTTTCGACCGTGCGAGGCCCTTTTGGGAAGGACCACCGCGGAGAAGAGATGCTTGGCAGAAGCATTGGTGTTGGAGGGGTTGAGGGTTTCTAGGGTTCGACTTAGAGTTCAGGATTGAGGGATGCGCTAAGTTTAAGTTAACAGACTGAGACTTGGCTATAGCGATGAATGCTTGCATGCTCAAACCGTAAACCCCTAAACCCTAAACCTGAAAACCCTAACCCCTAAATCCTAAACCCCTAAACCCCTAAACCCCTAAACCCCTAAACTCTAAACCCCTACAGACCGTGTTGAAAGCGGAGAGGGGCCCCAGGAGCTGGCTCACGCTCGGCTCCGAAATGCCCGGACGCCGAATCGCTGCCAGATCCGAGGAGAGGTTCTTGGGAGAAGGGGGTTTGGGGTTTTAGGGTTTTAGGGGTTTGGGGCTTGGGTTGCAGGGTTTTAGGGTTTTGGGGTTTAGAGAGTAAGGTTAGGGTTTAAGGTTCAGGGGTTTAGAGATTACTGTGTCGTTCATCACCTGCCCGCACGCACCCAGGTGTCTCCTTGTGTTTCTGTACATGCACCGTGCAAAGTTTTGCTAGTCAACGAGCTGCCCGAACGAGTGGAGTCACTTGGTTTTTGTCATGGTTGCTCATGTTTGTAGTACCAGAGAACGCACAAGTGCGGCATGTTTTGTACTGCCACTGTGATGGAAACTTCAAGTGGTGCTGCTTGCAACAGAGAGTCTGCGACAAGCCTCCCAGCTTAGTACTGGATGGAAGCCTTTTCGGCTGTGCATGGTTGCTCTTCTCAGTACTAAACGCTGTAGCTTGCGCGTTTCCAGCGCTTGTCGGGTCTTTCCCATGCCGCTGGTGCTGAACTACCGCTTCACGTTTATCGACGCAGAAGACGACGAAGAGGCAGCTCAGGGTGTCCAGCTTCGACGGGCGCTGACACCACCACCTCCGCGTCCCGGTCACATGAGTCAACTTGGTGAAGCTGCTCATTCACAGGTGCTCGAGGTTGCACGCTGCCGAGACTACTTGAATGGCTTGATGCGTGAACGCGGACTCGTTGATTCCAGGAAGCATGGCGCGTTCAGACGAATGTCGGATGGAAGCAAAGATTTCGACGCCAGTGTAGATGCTCCGAAGGGTGCATCGGAACAGATGAGCGTTGGCAGCTTGGGCCATCCCATCGCATGTCGTCGCCCATGTGTGCACATGATGAAACATCGTCAATGCCCGGAAGGCAGTGTCTGTGGCTACTGTCACTTCCCACATCCGCGGGAGGTGGGACCGCAAAAATAGTCTGAGGTCGCTCGGGAGCTTCTGTAGATCGCTAGATGCTTGCAATGTGGAATCTGGCTAGGTCTTAGGTGCCCGGTGGTGGCCGTGCTAGTTCGTTCGCAATACGGTTGAGGGTATTTCCTGCCAAGGGCTGCCGTGCCTGTGCCAGGTCAAGCTGGACCGAGTGCAGCGTGCCATGATCCACCAGCTGCCGTACGGATCCTTCTTGCGGATCGTAGCCGAGATGCTGAAGACGAAGGCGCCCGAGGTCGCCAAGCCGGCCGTTTGGGATGCCGTGCACCTTTTGGAGGAGGAAGCAGAGACGGCGGAATGCTTCGGAGCGCAGACTGATGTGAAGGCCATGAAGAGGTTCAAGAAGGGCCTGAAACACCTCAATGTGTTGAGCTTGCTTTCGTTGGCCAAACGCAGGTGCCAAGACCATGTCTGTGAGAAACTCACACAGATTGCTGCAGACCTCCGCTTCCGGGTATGATTAGAGCTCTACATTGTCTGTGTAGAAACTTACAGACTGACTTACAGATACATGTTCTACAGATAAATCTGGATAATATGTCACAAAGATGTGTACGCATACATTGCAGTTTGTATATTTTTACATATATCTATCTATGTATATATCTGTATAGGTATATATATATATACACACACACCATATATATATATATATATATATATATATATATATACATACATACATACATTACATACATACACACCACATGTATGTGCGGTAAACCGGGAAGGAGCAGCTTACTCCAGGCTTGAATTCAAACGATCGCTTGTGCCCTCCATTTTCAAGAAGTCCCTGGATTGGAATCTGTAGATTGTAACATCGCGTACCCTCTCCTGGGAGCTTGCTCGGACGAGACCGAGGACACAGTGTTCAGTGACCATGCAAGAATGGGTTCTTGTGAAGGGATCGAATTTAAGCTGGACTAGTAAGGAAGCCATATTATTTACTATGGATCCCTATTATGGTAACTTAAATTAAAGTCTTTAGCAAGATCCCATGCAAGAACAGACGGAGCAGATGTCAAATACGTCAAATCGCAGCTAGCCAGCTTCCAATTGCTCAAAAAACAATACCCGATCCAATGATCGACGAGAGCGATGGATCCACGGCCTTTCCTTCCCTGGTTACACAAAAAAGGCACCGTCATGATAGTCATACTACTCCTCTTCCTGCCCCTCCTCCTCCGCTTCCTCCTACTCACTGCTGCTGCTCTTACTAAGAGTTACTATTATTCATTATTCTTGTTACAACTAGCACTGCAACAGCCACTCCAACAACAACTACCACTACCACTACCGCTGCCACTGTCACTGTCACTGCCACTGCCACTGCCACAGCCACTACTACCACTGCTACCACTACTACCACTACTACCACTACTACCACTACTACCACTACTACCACTACTACCACTACTACCACTACTACCACTACTACCACTATTACAACTACTGCCACTACTGCCACTACTGCCACTACTGCCACTACTGCCACTACTACCATTACCTCTACCGCTACCGCTACCGCTACGACGACGACGACGACGACTACTACTACTACTACTACTACTGCTACTGCTGCTACTACTACTACTACTACTACTACTACTACTACTACTACTAGTACTACTTTTACTACTACTACTACTTCGACTTCTTCTTTTACTACTTTTACTACTGCTCCTACTACTACTACTACTACTACGACGACTACGACTACGACTACGGCTACGGCTACGGCTACGACTACGACTACGACTACGACTACTACTACCACAACTTCACAACCACTACTTGTACGAGTAATCGTGCTAGTAAAACTGTAAAACAAATACTAGTGCTACTGCTAGGGCTAGTGCCGGTGCCGTGCTAGCGCTATTGCTAGGGCTGGGGCGACTGCTGCTGCTCCTGCTACCGCTGCTGCAACTGCTGCTGCTACCTGCCACCTGCTACTGCCACTGCTGCTCCTGATGCTGTCGCTGCCGCTGCCGCTAGTGCTGAGGCTACTGCCACTACTACTGCTTTTATGTTTCCTTCCGCCACAGCAACAACAACAGCAGCGACTACTACGGCTGCTGCTACGACGACGACAGCTACGACTACTGCTACTGCTACTAGTACGACGACAACAGCAACAACAACAACTACTTCTACTTCTACTTCTACTTCTACTTCTACTTCTACTTCTACTTCTACTTCTACTTCTACTTCTACTTCTACTTCTACTTCTACTTCTACTTCTACTTCTACTTCTACTTCTACTTCTACTTCTACTTCTACTTCTCCTTCTACTTCTACTTCTACTTCTACTTCTACCTCTACTTCTACTTCTACTTCTACTTCTACTTCTACTTCTACTTCTACTTCTACTTCTACCTCTACTTCTACTTCTACTTCTACTTCTACTTCTACTTCTACTTCTACTTCTACTTCTACTTCTACTACTACTATGGCTACGGGTACTCGACGGCCTGGAAAGGTTGGCAGTGTTTATGTCCGGTTGCGCTCTGAGAGTTCATGGAGCTTCTTTGCGCAGAACAGTTTTATCGGGCGAAAGCCCGCTATCGCCTCGGAATCTCATGCTGTGGCCACCACTGTGGTTCCTGCAGCAACAGGTCCGGAGGCCCTGTTTGGAGATGTCTTTATCGCTGCCTCACCATTCGCTGTCGCTTGCGCCAGCGATACTGTTTCAAGGAGTTGCAGGGAGCAGAAGTTTTTTGTCGCAGGTGGTCTTGAGAAAACAGACATGGAGAGCGAAAGGCGAACGCAGAGGAACTTAGGACAGATGCGTGTAGAGAGAGGGCCCCTTGGAAGTGATCGGTGTCTGAGAATTGAGGGGGTCTTGTCAGGACCCATCATGCAGAGGATTTTATCATTAGTTTGCAATGTGCCTGGGTGGATCCGCTCATTGGACTAGGGTCTTCATCAAATGTGAATCTGGAAAGCCCAATGCCTCGGATGAGCAAGAGGATTCCTTCGAGCTCTGCCGTGCTCCGAGTGCCAGTGCTCTCAGTCAGGCTGGGTCGAGTTTCTTGCATCTAGGCCCTAAACCCTAAACTCTGAACCCTAAACCCCAAACCCCAAATCCTAAACCCCTAAACCCTAAACCGAGGGGGTCTTTGCGGGTGGATGACTTATGGGTTCCTGGCTGCTTCGGAGCTCTTTTGCAGAGGTTGTAAGCCTTGAGGACCAAGGTCGGCAGAGTCCCGTTTTCTGAACTCACAAGGGCTTAGGGTTTAGGGTTAGGGTTTAGGGTTTACTCCAGGACATAGTAGAGCCTTACATCCAAAAACACCCCTGAGGCCCAAAAGGACCCCTCTTCTGCTTCAAGCGGTCTCGCGCCTTCAGCGCGTT